GAAGTAATCCTCGCTAATAAAGTGGTGTGGGTTAGAAATGAAGTGGAAATTGCCAGGGTTCTTCTGCAGGACCTGGGCTGCCCCAGCTTCTGCAGCTGTCTGCTAGCCCTGTAATTGAATGTCTGCGAGTGATTGAAAAAATGTTATTTCTCCTCTGGATTACATGCTAATGTACAGAGGGCAAAGGGAGACAGCAAAAGAACACATAGCTGCTTATTTCATCCATTTGTAGGGGTGAGCTTTGGGAAATCATGGCAGTTCCACAGCTATCGCATGCCCATCTGCAAACACAATGTATTTGTACGTTGGGAATAGAGGGCAAAGCTGCTCTGATCTCAGCAGAGCATCTCTTCTTTTGTCCTAGTGGCACACATTGAGATTGATGTGAGATTAAGGACCATCACCCTCCTAACAATCGATGGAAATGACAATTCATCTGAATTTTTTGTCAGTTATTCTCACGTTGATTACCTGAGCGTGTGTACCTCATTTATAGATGCTTTATTAAAACAGAACTGTCTGTGTCACTTTCATATTTTCCACTGTTCAACAAAAGTCAGATAATACTGCAGCCAAGTAACTTAATTTCCTTACCTCTTAATCAGCTAGATGACAAACCTGACCTGTTTTCTTTCTGGATGTGTTATTTTATATAATATGTTCTGCATTGTCAGATCTATGCTGAACCTATTGTTTTCAGTAGTAGTCTGATTTGTCTCTGTGATAAGCCCTGTGGAGATGTGATTATTCCAATAAAAATTCATTCAGTTGGAAACCAACCCTCCAGCTGTTTACTCCCACAGTCCCTGAGCTACACTAACATTGTGTGGAATCCTTGAACAATATTTAATGTGAATTCAAAAGCATCTTTAAAACAGTTTTCTTTAGGCTCCGTACCATTGTGTAACCTTCACAACAGATTCGTAGCATCCATGAGGGAACGCTTAAGTTAGACAACTTTGAGCCTTGACTGCTATGTTCATCTCTGAGGAAAGCTATCGAGAGTCTCCAGTACCTAAAGAACATATTTGACAGTAAAGATTTTAAGTGTTCATATGTGCAGTCTCTCTATTGCATATAACAGAAGATATGCAACACTAGAAGTTTCTCGAAAAAAAAGATGTCTGAGTAAAAACTATATACTGCCATGCTAAAGCCAGCTCTGGCACGTATAATGTATGCATCGGTTTGCAATTGTAGTTGCTGCAATGTTCGGCAGCGCAGAGACACTGCAAATCTGTTACATATGTTCTTTTCCGGGATAAAAAGAGGTTTGCTTCCTAAGGAAGAGCTATGCTCTTTGCTTTATTTATTTTAATGTTCTAGGTTTGAAAAGCAAGTAATTTGCACTCAGGCTGTTTTCTGTTTTGAATATTGTTGGTGTTTTCACTGTTTGACAGGTCCAGTTGCCCTAAGCACAGCAGCCCAGCTTGTGGCCCCCTCAGTAGTAGTGAAAGGCACTCTTTCCATCACTCTTTCGGAGCTCTACTTTGAGGTGGATGAAGAAGATCCCAGTTTTAAGAAAATCGACCCAAAGGTAAGAGATCATTGACCTTGAGCTCTGAGAGATGATGACAAATTACTGAGACCTTTAATTCTTCATTCAACTTCCTTTATCTCTATTGGTGTGCCGTGTTCCAGCTTTAATAAGTTTGGGACTGACCACATATGTTACTGAACTTCACATAGGTGACACCTCCTTCCCTTCTCCTTTCTTTCCCCCTCCCACAGTTCGACCCTACTTGAATGTTAATTGGCTTGCTGCAAATAAAGCTCCAGGGAGGCATCTTAAATAAAGACATCTTGAATCACAGGCCTGTGTGAATAGTGGAAAGTTCAACGCGGCTTTTAGCCCAAATGCTGTGGTTTACTTTCCTATTTTTATATAATGCCAGTGTAACATAGTGGTAAACTTCCTATACTCGTAAGCCTTCAGTGCTTCTGTATCGTATTATTCTATAACAGCTTTTACAGGGCCTGTTAGTATTTATTGTGCCTAAGCAGAACGCATAATTGCCCTCTTAAAATACGTTCCTGAACTGACTTGCTAATTTCCACAAACTTTATTTGCTCTGAGTTACTTAGTTACTAGTATTTTGCTTAAAATTAGTAACCTTTGGTAAAATTCCAATTTCAAAGGCAGTATATTGTGTGATTAGCTTAATAAGCTTGCACTTGAATGTTTTCTGTAGTATGACAGCATTTCAGTATTTATATATGTATTTGTATATGTAGCATTTACAGTATTACAGCAACATCTCGAAAGTACAACATGATTGGTAAATAATTCTTGCATCCCAATTTAAGCACAGTGATGGCTCTTGGGTTTTTAGTATCTGCTTAATAGTAAACAAGGTAATTTCTTTGTGAAGGGGGAAAAAAGTCACTGGAAGTAGTAGTGGGTTTCTACTTGTCTGTTAGAGAATACCTTGTGTGTTAAGCGCTGGTTCAGTTCTTTGTTCCTACTGAGTAAATTGCTCTTGTCTGTATTAAAAATGGCATCAGTGGGTCTGAAAGCTGGCAGTACCAAATCTTATAATGGAATAAATATAGTTTGGAAAACAGTGCTCTCAAATGCATAGAACTAGAATTTAATACATGTAATTAACTAGAATTGTGATTTTTATGTGGTACCATAAATGAGATTTAACTTTTGATCCTGAAGTTGTTGTTTTTTTTTTTTTGTTGGCTTTTTTTTTAATATTCTGGAAATCATTTCAAGTATGAGATAGCTCTTAAAATTTTGATACGCTTACTCCTTCCATAGTAGCTTTTAAAAACATCTAATGATAAAAAGGATATAAATATAAAATGTTAAGACAGTTTGTTATGTTGCTGTATTGCATTTTCCACCTAAAAGGTTCTGCTTTGTATTGCATTAGCATGAGAAAAGTCTTAGAGATTTTCATTACTCTGCATTTTTGTTTTCCATGGTTAGCACTTAAGGTGTTTGAGTACATCTACTAATTCTTACCCTTCCTGTTAATGTTTTATGGGGGACGCTAACATGCAACATATATTCAGCCTGCTTTATTTTCTGGTTTTGAGTATTTGGTAGCAGTTGTTTTCTTAACTGTGAGTAGGAATTCTGGTTTGGTTTGACTCTATCTTTAATTCTGTGTTAGAGATACTTCTTTTTTTGGGGGGGGGGGGGGAGGGTGAGGGTGTCCTACAGAGGGAGGAGTTGGTTACATGAAATGTAGGCTACACCTCTTAGATTCTATTTGTGACGCTGTGTTAGATGGAGGTCTTAAAAGGAGGGAAGAAATTTTGTAATGTCTCGGGGGAGAGGGGGCTAAAAATCAAATTAAGTATTTTTATTTTAAGAAACAAATAAGCTTGCAACTCGGCTGTCTTTCAAGCAGTAACGCCTCCCTGCCCCACCCTCTGCTTAATTTACTGTGCTTTGATAGCGGTGACTATCAAGACTATCAGACTAGAGCTACTGTAGGAAATGCCCCTTGCAAAAGAAAAAAATCCTAATCCTCTGGAGCTCAGCGGGCCTGTTTAATTAATGAGGCTTCATCTGTTTGATACATTTTAAGTTCTTGTATATTTGTGTAAACTACCGAAAAGAAAACATTGTGACAAGTTCCTGAAGAAAGACCTGTCGTAGAGATAGCACCGGCCCCGATAAGATCGGCGTGCGCTCTTGCTAGGGACCGGTCCCGAGAGAAGGGCTGGCCCCGCGGGCTGAACCTTTTCTTCCTCCCAAGTGAGCTGGGGAAAGCGCTCTGAGGACCCCGTAAGAAACTTGTGGAGCACCCCCGGGTTTTAACGCCCGGCTTAGAGAGGCTCACGGTGGAGCGGCCGGGGTGCCTGGAGATGCCCGGGGTGCCGGGTTCCGAGCACGGTGTCCCCAGTGGCTTTCGTAGCTGGAAGTTCAGTTCCCAGGCTACTATCGGACTTGTTCATTTCGTTTTGAACTTAAAGACAAAAGCGACTCCAATTTGAATGGTTATTTCTTTCCGGCTCCGTCCCCAAAGAAACGGAAGTAGTCCTCCCTCTCGGGCAAGAACTTGTATTTTTACCTCCTTTCCCTCCCCACGAAAGGACACGAAACTTGCTCGAAATGCTCCTAGCCAGCGTTGAAGCCTTTCGGGTGGCTCGAGGGGTAATGCCGCCCTTTTCAAAGCTTTGAAAAGCCCTTCCCGTTAAAAAAAAAAAATAAAAAATATCCTACCAATATTTCTAAAGCATCCTGAGGAAACCTAAAGCAAGATCACTACGGCACGAAATACGGGGCTGGGGACTCGGGGCTTGGGCGGGGAAGGGGTCGGGTGCTTCCCTTACGGTTTATGTACTCCTCCGGCTACGCGGTTTTATGCTGTACTTAAAAATCTTGGGAAAACAAATGTTTGTTTAAAAAAAATATCGACCGGTTGCTGTAAAGTGCATTAATTATTCAGGGTAGATCTATACTTCTTGTCTAAGTCAAATGGATAGAGAGCGCGTTCACTCTGGGAAGCGAACGCAAATTAGCGATGGATTTTTAAAACAAAATACAAGCGCTTGAGGTTTACCGGGGGGGGGGGGGAGAATTAAAAAAAAAAGGCAAAACAAAACCAACCAAAAACCCAAACAACCAAACACTAAAGAAATCTCTAAGGAAAAAAAAAAAAAACAGCACAAAACCAACCCAAAGCTAACGAGCAGAGGGTAGGAGATGGCAGGCTCTAATTCTGCCTCAATTCTGAGGAGCTGCTGCGAGACGCTCCACATGTTCCCAGGATTTAGAGGGGAAGCTTAAAATCATAGAAACAGAGAAGATGTTGTCACATGCCAAACTACAGAATGGGTAAAATTACTGTTTTCTTAGACTCACTGTTTTAATAAAAACTAGAGGGAAGTTTGGACTATGCCAAGCTAAGGCTTTGGCTGGGTGTTGCGCTTAGACTAACTTTACATCGGGTGTTTCCATTTCGTTTAAAGATTTTTAATTCTGAGGTTCAGGAAGAGTCTACTTGCCTGAATTTTAAGACCATTCACGAAAAGTCATCTTAAAGTTAAAGTAATATTTTTATTACTATTTGCAACAAGTCAGTTGTGGGGCACATAATCTGACCTTGGCACCGAAATACATTTAACATCAGTAAAACTTTTTTTTCTTCTTCTTTTAAGGGAGATTTGTACATATAGTTAAATAATTTTTCACTTGGTGACAACATTCAGGCAAACAAGAGAGCATAAAAGGACTATACATGGATTGGAAAATGTACCTTTCGGGTTTCGTTTGGGAGTTGCAAAAGTCCGATTGCTTCTTTTTGTGACTTTTTAAAAATTCACATGGGAGGGCGGGAGAGGAGGCTCTTCCCTTCTTCCGTGCAAGGCGGCGAGAGTTTATTTACGCCGGGAAACCCGTCTGCGAGTTCTTAAAGGCCGAGCTGCAGGTGGGCGCGCTTCGTTCGCCGCCTTTTCCCGTCGTCGTTTGAGTTAAATAGAAAGTTTTTAGGCGCCGTCGTTGTTTGCGGAGGGCGAGTTTTGCCGGCGGGGGTGTGAACCCTATAGCTTGTCGAGGCTTTTAGGATTGGTGAGGATTTCTCTGGCTAGCCTCCAGGTCTGTTTGGCAGCGCTTTCCAGGGCCGAGTGGGGTTTGCCCTGAAAGAGGTCTAGGTTGGGCAGGAAGTAGTGGGGGCAGCGCCGGCACTGCAGGCAAGAGATGAGCTGCAGGAGGATGCCATTGAGCCGGTCGCCCAGGCACGCCTCGTCCCAGTCGGTCTCCCGCGGATGCTTCTCGCACTCGTACAGCAGCAGCGTCTTCATGTGGTAGTTGTTGAGGGGCTGCCCGGGGAGCTCCAAATGCCGGTCGCGCAGCGTCTTCAGCACCGAGAGGCACTTGTTCCGGCAGCCGCCCATCAGCAGCCGGTTCTCGGCCTCGCCGAACTGCAGCACCCAGGCATCGCTCTCGGCCGAGCTCTGCTTGCCCGTCAGCGAGTAGCACTCCTTGGAGAGCAGGTTGAAGCCCTCTGCCTTCACCTCCGCCACCCGGTTGGGGCCGGGCCAGGGGATGTGCGGCATGGGCCACTGCGCCGCGCTTCGCGGCCAGATCCCGGTACACTTGAAGGCGGGCGTGATCTGCACCACGTACCGCTCCCGGATGCGGAGCTTCACCTCGCTGGTGTCCGCGATCATCTTCACCACGTCCCGGTAGCTGCACTTGTCCACGGCCTGGGCCACCAGTGTCTGGAAGCGGGAGCGGATCTTGCGGGCGGACAGGTAGCCCGAGGCGGTGATGAACTCCACCCAGAGGGACATGCTGCGCTTGCGACCGTCGCTCAGCTTCAGCACGGCGCAGCCCGGCAGGGAGCCGTCGTCCACGAAGTTAAAGACGCCCATCTGGTTGAGGTAGAGCACCACCTCGAACTCGGTGGGCGAGATCACCTCTAGCCCCTCGTAGCGGGCGTCAATCTCGCTCAGAGAGCTGATGAAGCGCGGCTCCTGCACTTCCACCTCCTTCAACACGTCCGACACGACCTTGCACACCTCCCGTATGGTCTTGGCGATGGCCGCCTTGCGGGCCTGGCACCGCTCCGTGTAGTATTTGTTGAGCTGGTAGACCAGCTTGGCCTGCGCGGCGATCATGTTGGGGCACAGGTCCGGGCTGTACACCGGGCTCTCGCAGTACGTTGAGGGATCCAATGCTTTAGCGGTGGCTGCAGCTTTGCGGAGGGCACCGGCCAAATCGCAGACCCCCACCCCCTCCGGGAAGAAGGCGGCAGCGGCGTGCCGGTGAGAGCAATTAAGGAAACCGGGGCGGACGACGAAGCACAAAGGAGCGAAGACGGCGACGATGAGAAGTGCGAACCGCAGAGAGCGGGACGGCGCAGGCTGGGCAGTGGTGCCGGAGCAGCGGGCAGCCCCCGCGAGCTCCCGGAGCGCCAAGTTTTGAGTGGCGGCGGGGGCAGGGAGGTCTGCGCTGTCTCTGCGCTCCGGCGCCCACCCCCCCGGGCAGCGACAAAAATACTGTTTCAGTAGTTCATGGAAAGAAAAAAAAACACCAACACCCGAACAAACTTCCCCGGACTCGCAGAAGGTCCCCGCAGCAAAGCCGGTCGGCGGCGAAGTTTAAAACCGTGCACGATACTAGAGGAGGAGAAGAATGCGAGCAATGCCCAGAGCGGAAGAGTGAACTCTCTCTGTCTGTCTGTCTGCCTGCCTGCCTGCCTGCCTGCCTCTCTCTCTCTCTTTCAGTCCGTGGTACCGCCAGAGATGTGCATGAATTTGGCTGCCGCTCGCTCAGACTGTCAGGGGGTGTTGTTGATTTCCCTTTTCCTGCTGGAGGCGTTGTCTGAACCCGGCTCTGGCTTTCTCTATCTTTACGCGTAGACGTGTGCACTTGGTCTGTGATCGCTCATTCCTGTCCTGCAGCTCTATATAGGTTGCTTTGAGATATATATATATAGATATAGATAGAGTTGGTTTGTTTTTCTTTGCACAGACTGTGTTTTATCCTGAGTGGGAGGAGGGCGTAGCTGCTGCGCCCAGGATGGCTTCTCCTCCCCCTCCCCACCCCTGAAAGTGCGCGCCGAGGCTCTCACTCTCCGCGCCTCTCCTCCTCCTCGCCGTGTGCCGGTCTCTCTCCGGCAGTGCCGCCGGGCCCTGTAGTTTATGAATGGGGCCGGGGCCCGGCCGGGGGGCGGAGCCCCGCCTCCTACAATCGCCGCCGAGCTGTCAGCGCCGCGGCCAATCGCGGCGGGCGGCGGGGACGCGCACACGCTCTCGCGCGTTCACTCCTGCTTCCTTCCCCGGTGGCGGCAGGGTCGTGGTGCCTGCCTGCCTGCCCGCCCGCCAGCTCCGTGCGGGGGTTGGCCGGTGGTGTGTGTTATGTGTGTTATGTGTATGTGTGCGCGTAGGGCTGCGAGCGTCCTGCGACGGGTGGGAAAAAGCGGCAACTTCGCCGTCACAGGCGAGGGTAGCTTGCTGCTCCCGTTGCTTGCTGCGGGGAGGCCCAGCGGCGGTGCCGGTGCGAGAGGGGAAGGGAGGGGGAAAGGCGTGCCGGTGCTTCGCCGCAGGCATCAATCTTATTTCGCTAATGCCGGGTTGCGGCAGCGAAAGTGAGACCGTCCACCGGAGCGGAATTGCACACCTTAGTTTTACTGCTCGCAGTCAGGGCCGTAGTCACGTTAATTTAGATAAATCTGCTGCCATAAAGTTCTGTTCATCCTCCTAAAGCGCAGGATGGAGTTATTCGAAAGGAAACGATATTATATACAAGTTTGAATTAATAAGAATATTGAATGATTCGGAAGTAAAACTGTAGTTATGTCAGCTCAGAAAGAGCAGCTCGCCCGCTCTGCTCTCACCCCGCAGTACCTGCTGCCAAACACCACAAGTGCCTCTCCTGCAGGAGAGAAAGGCGATGTCCACCGCTGCTGCGCTGGGGGCCGGGGTGCGTTTTTCTGCAGCGGTTGCCCTCCCCTGGGCCGTGCAGCACCGCAGTGGGTACCGACGGGCGGGCCGAGGAGCCCCAGGGTTGTGGGGCACGGCGCAGGCGGCGCGGCCGGACCCGGCGCAGTCCCACCGCGAGTTCCTGCAGCCTGGCCAGGGCCGTGGGATTCCGGCGGCGCCGTTCACACGCGCTGCGCTCCTCCTTGCGGAGCCTGGCTTTAACCAGCTCGCAGCGGTGGGGCTCGGTTTCTTGTTCTTTCCTCTTCTCGCTGCAGCTGGCTGATTTTAATAAAGAAAATATCGCCGTCTGTTTTCCGTATGCATTTAAATTAGAAACATGTCTTGTGCCGGCCGTACCGCTGCGCGCTGGAAGAAGTAAGTACGGACCTGCCCGGCGCCCTTAAGGCTCCGTTCTCCCCGCCGCGATAGGGTCGGCTCGCTGCTTTACCCGGTGCCCCCCGGGCGGTCTGCGCCCGGGGCTGGGCGAGGGCTGTCACGCCTGCCTGGCGGGCCAGGGTACCCGGTGCTCGGCGGGGCACAGGCTAGCGGCGGTGTCAGGTGTCCCCGCCGGTCCCGGCCCAGTTAGGAGGGAGACGAGCCCAGAGCAGGAAGGATCCGAGGAGAGCAGTCTCGGAGGGGTAGGGAAGAGGGGGGGGGGCAGGGTGCGCCGAGGGCTGAACCGCTCTCACGGTCTGTAGGCGTCCCGGGGCTACAGCCGGGCAGTCCGCCCTGGGGCGCGGTGACTGCGGACTCTGCCCTGGGGACCCCCTTTGCCTGCGAGGAGGGTCTCTCCGACGGCTCGGCTGCCTGGGTGGAACTGCGAGGATCCTGCGCCTCGTCTCCGGATGCCTTCCGGCAAGCGGAGGAGTTAGTGAGGGCTGGGGGTCCCTCTCACACGCCCCGCCGGAGCTCCCGGAGCTCGCTCGCAGCCGAGCTGGCGCTTGCCCGCTGTCGGGCGAAGTGTGTGTGTGTGGGGGGGGGGTCATAACGATCACGAACCCGCCGACCAGCGGCGGGCGGGGAAAAGGCTCTGCGGGGTTTCGCCTCCAGCAGAGAGCGGGGTATTTCCGCGGCCGGGGCGCGGAGGAAATGCCGGAGCCGTCAGGCGGCCCGGGCAAGGGCGGGGGGACGCGTGTTCGTGTTTTCAAGGTAGAAGTACAAGGAGGGAACGATTCCCCTCCCATCCCCCCCGGTAAGGTGACTAATGATGGAGCGTTACTAGTGTTCAGATTTAAAACAATTCATTACCAATTTTCCCGTCTGAGGTTGAAGCCCTAGTAAATAATAAATCAGCGAAACAAAAGCCGACTTTAATTTATTGCCCCAGCGCTAATTAGAAACATCATTTGAGCAATAAACTTAAACACTTCCAGCAAATAATGCACGTGAAACCCTTCTCTCCCGCGTCTGGGCGTTTGCGGCCGTACTGCATTAAGACTAGCTTCATCTGTGGCGGAATTTGCTCTCGCCGGGATGAATAATTGAAGGAAAACAGGATCCGAGGAGGCTGTAATTGAAGAGCCCTTGTCACCTCTGCTTTTATGTATGCTAGCGTGGAAGTCCATCAGCGGCTCCTTGACGGTGTATAAAACGAAGTGGCAGCCCCTCCAGCAGCGGGAGATACTGTGTTCCATTAAAAGGACCGTGTGCGAGTGTGTGCTGCAGAGAGGGGAACTCTCCGGGCTAAAAGCCACTTAAGTCTTCAGACCGATTGATCTGTATTCTCTCGTTATAATCCGCCTCATCATACTTGAGTTAATGAGGCAGGGGCGGGGGTGGTCTGATGGGCCTTGACAAATTCATTAGGGAGGCTGCGGGACATTTTATTTGACTGTTAAACATCGTGTTTGTTTGGTTTAAGCAGTGCCAACATCAGCATGCCGCTGCCTGGAGCAATAACGATTTGTTAGCAAGGGTTGCTGTGAAAAGGCACTTCCCAGTCCAGGGGACTGGGTGTGTGCAGAGTCGTTGGCCCCGCTCCCCCCCCTCCGGGCCATCCTCCCGGTGCTGTGCGCAGCCCCGCTCTCCCGGCGGGCGCACACGGGCGGGCAACGGGGTTCCCGTTCGGCGGGGTCGGCGAAGGGCTGCTAGTGAATGCGCGCAGCCTGTTTTGTTTGTGTTCCATCTCCCCCCAGAGAATCCTATTTATTTGTATTAACCCTTAAAAGCCAGCAACAGAAGAAATCTGGAAATCAACTCGGAGTTTCAGCAAGAAACATGCAAGTTTCTTACTGTATTGTGTGTGATACAGCATACATGCATTTGCTTGCCTAAGCGACTTGTTAATGGCATATATTAGCTATTTCAGAGCTTTTTATTCTCAACGGTGTATTTTAAACTTTCTATAACATGCTACTGATACAAGGTCTAGTTTTTAAAAGCAAATCAAAGTTTAATCAAAGTAACTTGAGTCTATTAAAGAATTTCTGCCAAATCTGCCTTTCTTCTCCCCCTTTTTTCTCACTGAGGGGGAAAAGTGAATGCTGGAACAGGTGCTCCCAAAAGGAATAAGAAGTATTTTTATGAATACCTTATGAAATATGTATGTGTACATATGCACTTTGTTCATGGTAGCTTTGTAGATGAGATCCAGCTAGTGTTTCATTATTGTCTAGTAGTTGGTTTTATCTCTCTCATTTAGGGAAAACAGTTTTGTGAAAAACAGAATAATTAGTCTGCTCATGGAACCTAACATCGTAGTTTTTATTTATTTTATCTCCCTGGAGATCAGTCTTCAAACATTCTCAGCTTTAAGTGCTTTGTAGGATTCTGCTTCCATTTATAGCCGAACAGTATGGGAAAAGAGCTAGTGCCCTTTGCCTGTCATTTTCATACATTCTTGCACTGCTGATGGAGCTTGAACTGCTGCAGGGAATGTATGAATCTGAGAAGAAATGAGTCAGTAATGCATGTTGTGTTTCTCCACAGCAGAACTGGGTTAATACTTACAGTAAATGCTGCTGTGAGTTTGACAGATAAAATTCTGTTTACTTTCTATAGTATAGTGTGTACCTTTTTAAAGTTGTGGTTTGACTTTACTATCCACTGACCTGTTTGAAGGACTGTGTTTATGAAACTAGTTGGTAGCACACGCTGGGGGAGAAAAGATGGTTTAATTTCTACATGTGCCATTAGTGCATCTCATCTGTTAAGAGCGTTGCATAAATCTTGTACTTTTTTCTGTGAAGATTCAGTAGTATGGTAATTAATTTATACACGTTCCTAAGTCTTCCTTAGCTTTCATTACTGCAGCAGGAAAGGGCAGGGTTCCAATTACTTCTTTAAGTACCTAATTTTTACTTTCCTATTGAGTCTTAAAACGTGAACATGTCCATATTCTGGTGCTCAGCCACCAGTAATCTGAAGCTGAAGGCTTTCTCTAATGCTTTGGATCTTGTCCTAAAGTTAGCATCTTTTCTCATAACTGTGACATCTATTTGCTGTAAGATTGCTTTGGGTGCTAAATACTGATTTGTAAGTTTGTGCTCAGTAAGTTAGCAATTAGGGGAAATGGGACACATGCACTAGAAAAGAGCATTTCTAGTGACGTTGTAGTATTTTTCTCTTGTTAAAACTTCTTGTGGGCCTTTTGTTCCATTTGGATGCAGTTGGGGTGGATGCATGCTGTTTTATCCAAGAACCAAATTTGCATGTGTTGGCTGGACTTCATTCACAGTAATGGATTGATTACATTAATAACATAATTTCATTTTTTTTTAAGTAGGAGAGTACATAACATTCTGAGATTTTGTTATCTTGACCTCCAGTTGAATGCAATAACACTTACTTGCTTGAGAAAAATGTGAGGTGGGCTACATAGATTATGTCTTGTCTGGGTCTTAAAAATGTTGTGAGGCTAAACCAACATTTCTTTTGAAAATACAAAAATTATGAAGATATCTAAGCAAAGTCAAATTTCTGGAATTCAGTAACTGTCAATTTACAGGTGTTTGGCTGCAACTTTTGTTTTTAGCAGCAGGATGATTGCTATTCTTATTGTCTTAAGTGTTCACATGTCTGTGCATGGGCATAAATAATTGTGCCAGTAATAGCCTGCATGGTTTTATTGGTTAAATGATTATTTTAAAGATCAAAACCTTAATGCAGCTAGTTAAGATGAAGCATATTTATAATTAACTTAGAATCTTCTAAACTATACCCTTCAGAAATGTCATTTCTAGCTCCAGAAGTGCAAGCTTCTCATATATATGCTTACATTTTAAAAAGTACTTTCTTAAATACCACATAGAGCTATGTGAAATCCTCTGCTCCTCACCAGCCACTGTAAAGTTACAGCCTTTCAGTAGGTTTCTGTGAGTG